GTTAGCCATCATTTGGAAAGTGACGCTGATTTTCAAGCTGTCCTCGTAGAAAAATATTTGACATTTTGGTAATAAGAAAAGTGTCCAATTACAGAATTCAAAATTAATGGTTATGGAGCAATCCTGTGTCTTCCACAACAACTGTAGAAAAGAAAGTTTCTAAAATTGAGGACAAGTAGCTAAATAGTCTACATATTTAGGAATCTACCAAAAATTAAATTTGGTGGATTAAAAAAAAAAGTCCACAACAAACAAACAACCTCCCCTTTAAGTCTCGGGTGGAATTTATGAAAGAAACAGGATTTACAGTATTCAAAAAAATAACTAAAGTAGACACCGCTGGCAGGAAAGTCAATGTGAAGAAAAAAAATGAAAAACAGAGATGATTCTCTGCAACCCAGGGAGATAAATGAGTGCTTTTATTCGGAGTACACTTCCTCTGACATAGACTGGACTCTTCTTTCTGCTCTGGTTGTTAAAACCCTTTTAAGTCCTCTGAGCTTTCAAGAAACTTTGTTTTGTCCCCTCAAACCGTCATCTTGTCTGAAGTACTTCAGGATTTCTCACAATTTAGCATCTAATTGTAGGCTGTTCTCTCATCAGTGGGTTCCACATGGACCGTCTTTGCCTGGGCAGCCAGACTACATGTCTGCAGGCAGTGGCCATGTCTCACCTTGTCCCACGGTGCCCCCAGAGCCACAACCATGCTGAGCACAAGCAGTGTGGAGAGTGGCGGAGATGTCTGCATGTCCTTCAGGGAGGTCTCCCCTGCTCGTTAGCCATGCAAACTTGGGCGAGTTACCTCATCTTTCTATACCAGTTTCCTAGACTGTAAAATGGGGACAGTGACACCTTCAGCCTCCTGGTTGTGAGCATATTAAATGAGATAAATCACAGGTGCCCACCAGAGCACCTGGTCCCCAGGAATCCCTCAGTAAATGGCAGCCCACCACTGCTCTCCACACGGGTTCGCTGACAGAGCGGGATGATTTTGAAACTTCTGCCATGTCTAGAGACAAAATGTTGTTTTGAGTCTGAAATTAGGAAGTCATATATTTTATATATGCAGATGGTCTTTCCTTGTCTTAGGAAGCTATTGAATTTCATAGACTCTGTTTTCTTTGTTCACACTGTAATAACTCAGAACTCGGGATGGGTCTTATAATCCAATTTTTCTGAGTAGCGGAAAGATATTTTGTTTTGTTATCCTAGATGCCATCAAATCTAGCATAAATTTTGGGGATTTTTTTAAAGAATTTTTTTTTCTTTTTGAGAGGGAGAGCAGGGAACAGAGGAGAAGGGAGAGAGAATCTTAAACAGGCCACACGCTAAGCATGGATGTGGGGCTTGATCTCATGACCCTGAGATCACCACCTGAGCTGAAACCAAGAGTCAGGCACCCATCTGATTAAGCCACCCAGGTTCCCTTGCAGAAAGATTTTAAAAAGAGAATGAAACTACTCAAAAGGTCTTCTCTTCTTCCCCGCTGCTTTTCATGCTTTTAACTCTGCCCGGCAAGCTGGAGCCTCAGAGTGCCATCATTATTATCCTTTTAACACCTCAGACAAAGGAACACAGCTTGTTTTATTGGGTCCCTGTGTTTTAAGCCACTTGACACCTTCTCAATTTGATATTCGGTACTCTGGAGGCAGAAAGCCATGGTTATCAGAGCCCTGTCCCAATTAACATGTTTACTTGGCCACCACTGTCTTAAAAAGCCTTAATGATGTTGATATGCATCCTGATTTTTTCCAGAACATTTATGGGTTTGCTTGTTGCCCAAGCAGAATTATTAACGGTGACTCCTTTCATGCTCAGGAGTAGCCCGGTTTGCATGAGGACTCATATGATTACTCCACGTGAAGACCAAGGCCAGTCTGGAAGTCCTGGCTTTCATGCCTTGTATTCTAATTTTGTCTTCGTTATTTATAAAACTGGCTTTTAGTCAATCATTTGTGTGGTTCTGGCAGTGGTCCTTCCCTCATATTTTTACTACATGCTGGTTATACAGTGAAAAGCCAAACACACAAGGTCCTAACTCATGAGGTTTACACTGCAGTAGAGCAGCATATAATAAGTAGTTGCACATCAACATGTCACAGCTCCCAAGGACAGGTACAAAGGGCTGCAGTGCTCTACCAGAAGGAACCCATATGGGGCACCTGGGTGGCTCAGTCAGCTCAGTGTCTGCCTTCAGCTCAGGTCACAGTACCAGTACCAGGTCCTGGGATCGAGTCCTGCATCGGGCTCCCTGCTTAGTGGGGAGTCTGCTTCTCCCTCTGCCTCTGTCTGCGGCTCCACCTGCTTGTGCTCTCTCTCTCTGTCTCAAATAAATAAAGTCTTTAAAAAATACACACACACACACACACACACACACACACACACACAAAACACATGGAAGTGCAGTGGGGCCTTATAGGCAAGAGAAATACACTGCATTATTTCCTGACCCAAGAAGATGTGCTCTCATTTTCACACCATGCTCAGAATGTCACTGAGTTTGCCTCACACTCATCTGCCACGGTTAGGAGACACTTCAGTACAAAGAGGCTCTTCTGAGAATGGGCATGAAGTAATAATTGTGAGTATGTAAAGGCTAAGGGGCAGAGAGTTAACCCCTGGTCTCTTATTTAAGTGGCAGAATGATGATGAGAGCAACAGAGAGCAATGGAAGACATGAAGGGCAGTGATGTCTGGTGTTAGCAAACTCCTTAGGGTACAAATTATGTTGACTTCTCTGAGTTTTTTTCCCCTCCTGAATTCCTTTTGGAATACATTTCTAAGCATAGGGCAGAGAAAATGAAGCCCAGAGAGAAAAGTCAGGGGACCAGATTCAAATAGGGGAAGAAGAAAGTTGAAGGGTACTTGTCGCCATGCAGACTTCTCATGGTACCTGCCTCCTTTTTGAGATCCAGAGTGTCAGCAACCCAGGCAGACCATGGGTGGGCAATTTGGGGTTCGCTGAGTGAGCATGAATACCCTGAGAGGGACATCACAGACTACCAATAGGAAAGTTTCTCCTTTGAAAGAACCGTAGGGACCAGAAAGTCAGTACGGGAGAAAGACTGCTTGGGAACAGGGTTCCCAGTTACTGACAAAACACCAGGTGTGTTCATTTACTTCCAAGATCCTATATGATTAACCTGTCTGCTTTCTGTTCATCTGTTGCCCGAAGACTGTATTTCCAATACAAATAAGTCCTCCAAAAGACAGGAAATTAAACAATGAGCATATAAGTATACAGGGTTAAGGACACACACACACACACACACACACACACACACACACACGGATTGTTCCATAGTGTCTGTACAAAGAATCTATAAATTATGATGCTACATCTTCACTCACAGGCTCTGTACTAATCTAGATAAATTTTAGGCAAATGTCAACCTAGTGGTTGGCAAATAGTTTATTTGGCGAAATTTTTACTACACTGTAAAGATGTAAACATACTTAAAATCCTAGCAAATTCTTCAAAGATTAGAAACAAGACAGTGGAAGACTCACATGTGTTGATTTTTTCACTTAATGATGTGTACTTAATGCCTATATTTCATATGTGTCATGAATTCGAGTTGGTGTAATAGTTATGACTTTGGGTTCAGAGAGACCTAGGTTTACTGACTTTACTGAATCAGTTCTAGGACTTTTTGGTGGAGTCTTTAGGGTTTTTCTATAGCATCATTTCATCCAGAAATATTGAAAGTTTTACTTCTTCCTTACCAATCTGGATGCCTTTTATTTCTTTTTGTTGTCTGCTTGGTGTGGCTAGGACTTCCAGTACTATGAAATAGATGGAGCCAGAGAATATAATGCTAAATGAGATAAGTCCATCAGAGAAAAACAAATACCATATGATTGCTCTCATACATTGAATTTAAGACACAAAACAACAAGCAAAGGGAAAAAGAGAGAGAGAGAGAGAGAAACCAAGACAAAGACTCTTAACTATAGAAAATAAATGGTTACACAGAGGGAGGCTGGTGGGTGGGGGAATGGGTGAAATAGGTGAGGAGGGCATTTATCTAATGAGCACTGAATAATGTACAGAATTGTTGAATCACTTTATCGTACACCTAAAACTAATATAAGACTGCATGTTAACTGGACTGAAATTAAAATCAGAAACTTAATAAAAAATTCTTATAAATACCCCAGATAATAATTTAATATCTCCAAATCATGGTTTTCGCATACTTAATATGGTCTAACTATACCTGCTGTGATCACTTATCCCACGTTATTATAGAGATTGACATACTATATAGGAAATCACCATTTAAACTACCAATATCTTTACATCACACAAATTCTATTCTTGAAACCAATACTATATCATATGTTAACTGATTAGAATTGAAATAAAAACCTAAGCAAAAAAAAACCCTACCAATATCTTAAAAAAAAAAAAAAGATTTTATTTCTTTATTTGAGAATGAGTGAGAGGGAGAGGGGGAAAAAGTGTGAAACAGACGCCACGCTGAGTGCAGAGCCTGACACAGGGCTTGATCCCACAACCCCAAAATCATAACCTGAGCCAAAATCATGAGTCAACTGACTGAGCCACCTAGGCTCCCCACCTACCAATATTTTTTTTTCCCACCTACCAATATCTTTACAAATAAAAGTATTATCCTTTTTTGGTCTATTGTCTGTTAGGGTTTATAGCTACTGTGTTATTTCTGTGTCTTCATTTAACACGGATTCCACAAGGGAAGGAGACCCATTCTTGTATGTTACCTTTTCTTTGGCTAGTGCCAATACTCATTGATTCTGGTATTATTGTTTACTAACTGTGACTTTGAGCAAATTAAGTTCAATGTGCTCATTTTCTTTTTTTAATCCTCAAAAGAGGGACAATAAGACTACCTTAAAGGACTTTTGCAAGTGTCAGTGAGAATTACCTGTCATGTTCAACAAGAACTTGTTCAATGTACCAGGTTGTGGATTCTTTCCCATACATTCAGTGCAAGGCTGTCCCCTCAGACCTAACTGACCTGTGGATGATACGCTGGCTCTGCAGGTAGTCCAAGGCCATGGCTAGCTCACAGATGAAGAGTTTCACGGTGTCTTCCTGGAAACGGACATTCTGCTGCAGGTGGTAACGCAGGTCCCCGCCCAGCAGGAGGTCCACTACCATGAACATATCCTCCTCATCTTGGAAGGAGTACCTGGAATAGAATTAGAAATGAAAGTGTATTAAATACATTTGCACACTAGAGAGTCCCAGAGGCAATGATACCTCATAGATCAGAACAGAGTGTTCTTGAGCAAAGAGTTCAAGCTTTGGGAGCAGATGGTCTATCCCTAGGTCTATGACCCTACACCTTCAGTTTCCACATGTGTGAAGGGGAATAATAAGAATATCTACCATATTCAATTGTAGTAGAGAACAGATATTACATTTAGTGTCTTGCCTGACATATAGTAAGCACTCAATAACTATTAGCTTATAAAGCCATAAAGCTTAGTTACTAAAGAAAACCACACTTATCCCTTAACATTAACAATCATATCCTAACCACACCATTGCTGGAGGTCCATAAAATATGAATTACGAGGCGTCCTTGAACCATTCTCATTCTCATTTTCCACACGATCAACTTCATTGCCCAGCAACTTTAAAACAAATCATGTACTACGTTAATGATAAGAAAAACATATAAAAGGGCAATAAAAAAAGCGCATAGTACAAGGAAGTAATTCACTTTGGGATAGGGAGGAAGGGAAAGCTTCTCAGCAGAAGTGAGACCTATGTTACATTTTGAAGGATGGTGACAATAATAACCACAAAATGAAGTTAGTGTCACCGATGTCTCCATTGAGCCACTTCTCTGGGGCAGGTGCTGAAGCCCTCTTCAAATTGCACTCCCGGGGACCCCCAAAATGCTGCTCTTAAGCTCCCACTTTAGAAATAAGGAAATCAAAGCCTTTGATACAAAGTCAAACACATGTAGTCTACCACTACATGGTAGAGCCAAAGAGTTCTCCAGGTCCAAAAGTAGGATTTGATAGAGGAAAATAGCCAGCACTGAACACAGAAATGGCAAAGAACACAGTGTGAGTGGAGAAAGGAAACTAGTTTGGGTTTGCTCTAACAACAGGTATGATGGGGAAGCATGGGCCAGAGAGGAACACAGTACAAGATCCTCTGACAGGTGCCTGTTCACAAGTCTGTAGGCGTTGGGGTGACATTGAAGAGTTTTAAGCAGGATGTACAATCAAGCATGGACTTCACACTTGAGGGAGCACAGGATGGAGAGATGGGAAGAGGAAATGAGACACAGGACAGCAGAACTGGACTCTGCTGTTTGCAAAGAGCCTCTCGTAAAAAATGCATTCCTGCTGCTATGATTTATTTTGTTTCCTTTAAAGCAAAGACAGGATTTCTAGGCGCAGTATTGCTCTTCGAATCTGCACTGTTTTGACATGTTTCTTTTGACATAATGTCACTGGGATCACATTTTAAACTTTTATTTGAATCAAAGAATTAAGTGTTCTCAAGCAGTGCCCAGGGATGCAAACTAATTCCTGGTGACAAATTCTTTGCTCAGGAAAGAAATGGAGAACATCAATGACTGAAGAACGATATTTAGTATTTTTCCTTCTCTATAACAATCATTGTGCTAAAGGAGAAGGTGGGGATTTGCAAGGGAAAGAAACAAGAGAAATTCAACGAAGCATTAATCTGAGGTAGTAACATTCTGATGAAGACTACCAGTCCCCGATGTTTACTTGTTCAATGAATACAATTTTGTTTACCACTGAAGACTGATTCACATAGAAGATGACAGATATTAAACCCTTGGGAGAGTTTAGACAGAAACGCAGGAAGCGCTTTTTAAAACTCTGACAACGAATACATTTTTAGTATTGTCTTCTGGAAATGACATTCTTCACCTCAGTGTGATCACTGGCTGGTCATCTGTGCCATGGTTTTAATGGGTACCAGAAAAAGGGCCTGGACTCAGGCTATTTGGTTCACAGTCTTTCCTACTGCACTACTGTGCGTTATATTTGTTGTGTTTTATAGGGCTTTTGCTAAGCCACAATGTGCTAATAAACATGTAATCATCCCTGGGACCTGTGGCACCTTCAGTTGCTTTCAGCTAATGAAACAGAAATGATCCCTCATGGGATGTGGTGATATGGGTGAGGTTTGGGGATCCAAAAAGGAAGAGATGGCAAGGGAAACAGCCTCCGGAGACCAAGCTGGCATACAGAGCAGCTGCTGAATGCATTTAGCTCCCATGGCAGCCAGGTCATGGTCAGAAACCTGGTGACATACCAGAAGACTTCTCTCCCATCTCCGCTGGACTCTAAGGACGGGCAGTGGTATTATTAAATTCACCCTGATGAACAACCTTTTTAATGAGACTCGAGTGAAGCTATTTTTATTCTAAGAACAGACAGATAAAGGTGTCAGTCATAGGCAAGTTAACAACAGCGTTCTACCATGCAAGGGATTATTAATCAAAGAAAGATGTAGCCCAGGCAGGAGACAACATGCTTCCCTTGTCCAGCATGAATATAAATTTATTTAATCATGGAGCTAGGTTTGGCTGTTAAGAATCTTTCTCCTTCAGCGCATCAGATCTGAAGCCCCTTATACAGATCTTAAAAACTCTCAGAGAAAGGGAAGATGAGTATTTGATTATATAGAACCATATCTAGTAAAATATGTGGGCATAATATAGTTTGGTGATGACTAGAATATGAAAGATCATACCATAGTCTGATTATTTATTGATAAAAGAGTAAGAGCTTCCTTATACCTTGTTCATTTATCACAGAGACTCACTGTTACATTTCCATGAGTTTTCTTTCTTAGCTGACAGCTCCAAAAATACTAAGTCTGGTCCCACTGTATATGAAATGCACTGCAGTGTTCTCAGTAGGATAAGAGATAATCAACAAAAGACTACCACATACTCCACCCTGTTCCACCATGTTTGACCCAGACCATGGCAGTAGCTACTCATAGCTTTCTATGGATAATCTTGGACCTCTCCAGTCCTTTCTACACACCATAGTTATTTTTTTGTTTGTTTATTTGACAGACAGAGATCACAAGCAGGCAGAGAGCCAGGCAGAAAGAGGAGGGGAAGCAAGCTCCCTGCTGAGCGGAGCTGGATGTGGGGCTCGATCCTAGGACCCTGGGACCATGACCCGAGCTGAAAGCAGAGGCTTAACCCACTGAGCCACCCAGGCTCCCCCATAGTTATATTTTTACACCATGAGCTTTATATCACCCAGCCACATAAAACCCTTTTACCTCTTTCCATGGCATATAGGATCCTGTATGGTCTGTCTCTGTTTACTTTTCCAGACCTAACTTTAGGTCTCTTCCTTCCATCCCGCATCTAGTAATTGATGCTCTCTCCAGCCTTAGAAGACTGCAGTGTAGTGTGGCCTGTGCCTATGCTCATGATGCTGTCCCCTATCAGGTTCTTTTCATCTTTCACCCTTAGCCCAAGTGACACTTGTCAGAGAGACATTTCTAACACTCCATATTAAATCAGGTCACCTTGGTACATATAATACCTTAGCGTAAATTGAAAATATTTTCTTGTGTGCTTTTGGCTTAACTATCTTCATTCCCACTATGCTACCAGGATGCATGCCTGCTTTTACTCATCTTTGGCTCCTGAGTTCACTGCCTAAAAAGTAGCCTCTACAAGTAGCTACAGAAAATAATAATAACAAATTAATAAATGAACTAAAGAAAGGAAAAGGTTAAAGCCCAAGCTTTGGGTATATGTGCTATACATACATTCCTTGGGTTTTATTCTTTTTTTTTTTTTTTAGAACAACCAGATCTATTTTTTTAATTTAAATTCAATTAATTGACATATAATATATTATGGGTTTCAGAAGTAGAGGTCAGTGATTCATCAGTCTTATATAATACCCAATGCTCATTATATCACATGCCCTCCTTAATGCTCATCACCCTGTTACCCTGTGACCTCACTTCCCCCGCCTCAAGCAACCCTGCTTGTTTCCTATAGTTAAGAATCTCTCACAATTTGTTTCCCTCTCTGATTTCATCTTTTTTAAATTGACATACAGTGTATTATTTGCCCCGGGGGTGCAGGTCTGTGAATCATCAGTCTTACACAATTCACAGCACTCACCATAGCACATACCCTCCCCAATGTTCATAACCCAACCACCCTATCCCTCCCCTCCCACCCCTCCAGCAACCCTTGGTTTGTTTCCTGAGATTAAGCATCTCCTATGGTTTGTATCCCTCCCCAGTCCCGTCTTGTTTCATCTTTTTCCCTCCCTACCCACTGTGACCCTGTGCCCCGCCTCTGAACTTCCTCCTATCAGAGAGATCATATGATAATTGTCTTTCTCTAATTGACTTATTTCACTCAGCATACTACCCTCTAGTTCCATCCATGTCTTTGCAAATGGCAAGATTTCGGTTTTTGATGGCTGCATAGTATTACATTGTATATAATGGAATATATACAATGATATATATTATATATAAGATATACAATGATACACACACACACACACACACACAAAATGATATATACATATATACAATGATACCACATCTTCTTTATCCATTCATCTGTTGATGGACATCTAGGCTCTTTCTATAGTTTCGCTATTGTAGACATTGCTGCTATAAACATTTGGGTGCACGTGCCCCTTCAGGTCACTACATTTGTATCTTTAGGGTAAATACCCAGTAGTAAGATTGCTGGGTTGTAGGGTAGCTCTATTTTCAACTTTTTGAGAAACCCTCATACTGTTTTCCAGAGTGGCTGCACCAGCTTGCATTCCCATCAATAATGTAGGAGGGTTCCCCTTTCTCTGCATCCTTGCCAACATCTGTCGTTTCCTGACTTGTTAATTTTAGCCATTCTGACTGGTGTGAGGTAGTATCTCATTGTGGTTTTGATTTGTATTTCCCTGATACTGAGTGATGTGGAGCACTTTTTCATGTGTTTGCTGGCCTTTTGGATGTCTTCTTTGCAGAAATGTCTGTTCATGTCTTCTGCCCATTTCTTGATTGGATTATTTGTTCTTTGGGTGTTGAGCTTGATAAGTTCTTTATAGATTTTGGATACTAGCCCTTTATCTGATAAGACAATTGCAAATATTTTCTCCCATTCAGTCAATTGTCTTTTGGTTTTGTTGACTGTTTCCT